ATTGTGGGAAGATGAAGTGGACCATTAATTTTCGGTATAAGCAAGTCTCGAGATAAACTAATTCGTATGTTTCATAGGGACGGATGCGCAAAGGAAATAAAATAACGAAAAATACGATTTGGGATGAATAGATGAAACGAAAACTGGGGAGACAGGAAAAAATATTGACAAGCGAAATGGGGCATTGGTGCGATCCTGATAGTCGCTTCCCAACCCCTCCTACACAGCGTGGAAAAGGCATCACAGCAGTTTAATGCATTGAATTGGAAAAACAATCAACACAAGAATAAGACAACTCTCGTGACTGCAAGATCATGGATATAGAAAGATCATAGATAATTGAACACATTGCTCTGATCGTCTTCAGTCGTAATTCGAATACAACTTAAAGACTCTTCTCCGGGTGAAAATTCAGTGGAAATGAAGATCAAGGAAGTTCTGGTCTTAATTTTTCACAGAAGTCTAATAAACATGAGCTTGAAATAGGGACGAATCAGTGAAAATTTTGCTTACCGTCAAGGCAAACTTGTCAAAATTCAGGATTCATCGAGTACAAGCAAGAGGAAATCATTCGAACAAAACTAAGAGGCATCTATTTTCTGCATAAGTAGTATCCGAGAATATCAGTAATTCTTGAATAAGAACTTAATCAGCCCAGATAGTTTAAGGTGTTTGAAGGGCTGATGGTTGAGTTTTACGACAATCATATGAGTAGATCTCGGGATTTCATCGCACTTCTCTTAGCTTTGCCTCCCAACAACCTTTTCATTCAGTCTTGAAGCCATGGAAAATACAAATTTGCCTTATCGACAATAATCCATTCGTGCTGTGATGGGTTTTATTTCGTAATTGGAAGGCATTTGTAAGTTGACCCCACCTGAAACTGAAGTAGGATCTCCTTCGAGTGGCAACTGTAGATTTGTGCAAACAGGTCCTTGGCGCACTGTTTCACGACTACAACAAATTTATGCCAAAATTTCCCTTATGCCCTCGTGACAAACATCGTCCGAGGGAGAAATCATGCTTTAACAAATTTCAGCAAGCATTCAACCATTTCACGCAAGATGCTAGAGGGAAACTTATTATTAGGAGATGTATTCTCCCCAGGTTGCATAAGATACTAAAGTACTGATAGTTGGATTTTCTCGCAGTAAGATGAATGGGCCCCACGAAGCAATTGAAGTTTACTTGCATTCGGGAAACAAGACTAAGCAAAATTCAATGGCGTCGTTATACCTACTCATCTCATTGTGGAAAAATTCATCTAAAGGTTCTTTGTCACATTATGTGACCTAGGGCGAATATAGCTCTTATTCAAGATCCTCTGGTGAATTCGAAACCTTCTCAACCTGAATAAAAAATACTGTTAGTTTGGAGACATAGTTAATCTGCCTAAAGAAACTATTCTCAAGATGATGTAACGTTTACCATTCTTGTATGTGTGTAGACTCTCAGAGGACACAAGGGAGTGCTTGAGAATATGGAGCACCTTCACATCTTCGAGTCAAATATGGAATGAATACCGGTGGTCCGGCGTACGTACCGCCAATAAACACACCTGTGACGCATTTATATACCACTTAATATAATAGATATTCGAGTGACTGCTCATTTCTCAGTCATCTGGAGGTTTCCCCCATACCGCACTGTTGACACGTTTCCATCGCGTCGGCTGTTCAAACAAATGTGCGCTGAATATGCTCTATAGTACGCCTAGATCGCATAAGGTCGCATTAAGGACTGAGAGTTGAGTTTTCCCACATTACCTGGTCTCAAGATGCAAAAAGGCTGCATCTGTCTCATCAGCACCCCGAAATTGATTCGAACTGGGATTGTGGAGTGTATGCTTTTGACATAAATACATACATACATACATACATACATACAAAATTTTCGACCACCATATGTATTCAGTTAAGTTAGGTAATCGAGACTATCATTAAATTTTTAAATAAGATCTCCGGTCATCTTAGGTCGCATAAGGGGATGAAGGACTGATGGGTGAAGTTCCTCACGATCATAGGAATAGGCTTCATGTTTCCGTCAAATTTTTTTCGTAGTTTTGGGTACGCTCTCGAGACTACCAGTCTTTGATCAGAATAAACGAAATAGTTCATATTAACTTTTGCATATAACTCTTATTTAAGATTTACTGAGAGTCTCGAAACCACTATCAGAATTTAAGTAACGTAGTTTATTGTTAAAGTTGAATTGCGAGGCTGGTAAAATTCACTATCTGTTGTTTATCAACTAAAACGGCCCAGGATGAGTAGAACTGCTATTCAAGACCTACTGAAGTTTCGAGCTCTTACTTGCAACAAACTCAAATAATATGAAATGTATTCACTCAATTTAGTTTAATGTGACAAGGGGACTTGTAGTTGAATTTTCCCCCAATCCTACGAGTAGAACTTACAGTTCCATTGAGACTCACATAACCTTGTTTCTCAAAAGGTATTCTCATCCAGGGTTGACTGTTGTTTCGACCTCGCCTAGGGTGAATACATCTCATATATGATTTTCTGGTAGACTTAAAGTACTACTTATAAGCGAAAAATAAATAATGTGGTCGATTAATATGGCAAATATAACTTTGCTTTATCGGCAATCGCAACAAAGAATGTGATATGGAAAATGTCTGGCCTTCCTTGATATTAACCTTTACCCTATGACCAAGGTCGTTCGTGGCAATGTGGCAGAGTTGTTGATACGACCCAGGCGTGGTCGAAATTGTAGTCCATTCTGGATGATAATACATTTTGGGAAAGCAAAGCTATGTGCAATTCAATGGAAACGTCAGCTCTTCTCATAGCATTGTGGGAAAATTGAACTACCAGTCTTTCATCACCTTAAATGAAATAGTGTGAATACATCTCCTATTCTCATCCAGCCTGAGGTGGGTTGCAGTTTCGACCCCGCCGGAATTGCTCTCGTCAATCTCGACACGGTGACCACTAAGCCAACTTTTAATTATTGTCACCACCACGATGCATTTTGTAGTTCACACATAAGTTGAATGTGTCGGGCAAAGCAAGTCGGTGCACAAAAGCAAACAAACGAGCAGAGATGTGGAAGGTTCATTTGCTTGTCTCATGTTGAGTGAGAGGCCACAGTTGGATCAGGCCGCAGGGCTTAAGATGGGGGTTAATGGATTCCGCTTTATCGGATTGGCCGGGCTCCTGTGGGTTGTGAAGAATTTTTCAGGCCTTCCCGCCGACTTTGTGTCTGTGGTGAAAGCAGAGAAACGGCCCCTTCGTCATGCAACCGGGCCGGCCAATTTGACCAGTCTGTTCCGTTGAGGAGTACACATTTGGTGCATCCATTCGACGACTCTATCCAGCCCCACCTCCCACTTTGTCCCAGTCAGTCAAGACGATAAGACCCCATGTTCTGACTCGCGACGTTCTGATTGGTTGGCCTTATCGTCTGCCCAGCCTCATCAGCCAATCAGCATCGCGATTCTGTTGTCCTAGCCCTCAAGGCCAGTTTCCCTCTTCTTTCGACTGGGTTGGTCGGTCGGTCGGTCGGCAGATAGGCACATGCTCGTGACACTATTTGGTCGTTAGTGTGTGCTCCCCTCCACAGATTGCTCTTCGTCTGGACGTCTTCGTCTTGTGTGAGTCCTGCCAAGTGTGCTCGAGCCCTCCTCTCTCCTCGGGACTAGCTTCTATCCTCCATCCTCTATCCACTGTCCACTGTCCACTGTCCGCTAGCTGCTGGCGTCTTCTGTGGATTTAGATGCAAGTCTAGCCTGAACTGGTACCGGCAGCCACAAATGCAGGACTAAACAGTCACTTAGCAGGATTCTTCATCTCTCGCGAGGGACTGTGACCAAGGCGATGAACTCCGGGACTCGATCCGGCGCTTCCACCAACTGCAACCAGCTCTGGCGGGCCTGGTACCCCCTGCTGGCCAGCGGTCTGCACATCTTCCTCGTCTACGTGGGCATCAGTCGTTACCTGACCTTCCGAGCCCAGGCGTTCGACGCCAAATTCGGCGGCGACTGGGACCAGTCAGTGCTCAATCTGTATCTCGGCCTGCTGGTCGCAGCAATGACCAGCTTCTGTCTGTTCGCCTACACCAGCCTCGTGACCACCCCAAACTACTCCAACGAAGGTGTCCAGTTGGGCCGTGACACCGACAACCTGCGACTCCTCGCCTCGTTGCAGACTCTCGAGGTCGACTCCGGTCCGAATGGTCAGACGTCGCAGTCACCCTCACGACTACTGTTGCCAGGGCAACCGATGGTCGGTGGCAATTCGCTGTATGCCAGTGCAAACGGCGTCGCCCTGAGGCCGGGCTTCGGTCTCGGTCTCGGTCTCGGCATGGGCTTGCTGCCCGGCGACGAGCATCTCTTGGGCCTGTCCGGGTCGCAAGCGCCCCTCGGCCTGCATCCCGTCATGCTGGCCTCCGGATTCGACTCTTGGTCGGGCCGCAGTGCCTCGGCACTCGGCGTCTCCGCCACTGGCGTCGCGAGCGGAGCCGCGGGACTCGGCGAACCCGTCGGACCGGTCGGACTGGCATTTGCCGGCTTCTCGCAACGCGGCCTCCATCCGCTCTCGGGCCAGCCGACGCCGTTTTGTCCGCCCGACTGTGACTGCCCCACCTCGGGGCCGAGCTTAGCGCCCAACGGCCATGGCCATCGTCGGGAGCGGGACCGAGAGCGGGACACGGACCGGGGCTCGGCCCCCGCCGTGGAGGAGGACGGATTGGTGGTCGGCTGTAGGGCCGGTCTCCTGCGACTGGTGCGGCATTTCATGCCCATCTCCGCGCTTCTCCACCTCATCTCGGCCTATTGCCTCGCTCTGCCGATTCCCGTGATGCAGGCACAGCAGATCTTCTATCGAGCCCTCTCTGAAGGTAGGCCCGTCGGGCTCAGCTTAACGCGAGTCACCAAGACAGACTAACTTGTGTGTAATCCTGCCAACAGGCAAACGGTATGACAACAAAAAGCCTTGCTTGAACTTCATTTCGTCGTCCCGCCATAACGCAACTGCGCGTCTGCCGTCATTTTTAATCTAGCAGTGCCTACTCACAATGGAAATAAGTAGTAAAGCAAAATGTATCGACAAATCCACGTCTGCTCTCTGACTCGAAGGCATTCGTGGCAGTCTGGCGTAGCGGTAACATATCGAAGTTATACGTTAAGGGTGGTTATGAGACCCAGGCGGGGTCAAAAACGAAGACCATTCCAAACGAAAATAGCTCTCGTTAAACAAGTGCAAGGTAAAGCATCACTTTACGCAGCCTAGGGTGACTTACTGATAACCTCGTGACCAACTTGTGAATGTTTGCCACATCAAGTGTGACTTGTTCAAGACCTGGCTTGCCTTGAAATTATCAATCTTGTTGTACTTGATGTAAATGTGGACTAAAGAACCCTTTAATGATATGGCCTAAGTCGACTTGTCACTTCAAAAGCAAGGTTGTTTGGAAGGAATTGGCGAAGTGTTCTCACCGGATACCGATAAAGGATATCTCCTTCAAGGAATTAAGACTGTTTGCTTATACCAAGACTTGCTCCGTTCATCTTCTTGAAATCTCGATTCAACCATGCTCCGTTTACTTCTGTTATGCCTTGCTAGTTTCAACACCTACTCATAACAAAAATAAGTAGTAATGTCGACTGT